TGACCCTTGCAGTAGGAGCCCAGATTCGTATTTGCGATAATTTTGTCGCAATTGCAACCTTCGCATTTGCGAACCTGATATCACAAATGCGATATCAGAGGCCTGGACACAACTTTTAAAAATGGGACTTAGGCCATTTATTTCATTTTACTTCTATACTTGGGTGATTTGGCAGCTTCTAAAGAGGAGATTTCAACCTAGCATTGTGAGGTAAGTTATTTCTGCTTAATGTGAGTTTAATACTTGAGTTTTGGGTAGATTAACACATAAAGATTAGTGAAAATTATAGGATTAGAGTAAAACCTAGGGTTTTGATAAAAATAAGATCTAACCACGAAATTTGTTATGGAATGGAGTAAAAATCATATATTCTTGATCCTTAGGTTATGGGTAACAACTTTCTTCAAAAAATTTCAGAATCCGGGTACGCGGGCCCGTGGTTGAATATTTTGGAACTTTGTATTTAGGGTTGTGAAATAACTCTAATAGCTTGAATATGAATTTGTAAGCCTATAATAATGGACTTTTATACTATTTGAATAGTTTCAAATTGTGCGGTTCCGGTTTAAGAGTTTGGACGCATTCTTGAGTTGGAAGTAGGCTCGAAACGAGGTAAGTCTCTTTTCTAACCTTGTAGGAAAAATGTTCTTATAGGTGAACTAATCAATATATGATTAAATGTGGGGGGCTATGTACGTACGAAGTGACGAGAGTCCGTATGTAACTACTATTCAGGGTAGTTCTAGGATCACATCATGCTTTGTGGTTGTTATTAATTGCTTATATATGCTAATGGTATGAGAGGAAGTGAGTTGAAGGAAATCTAAAGATTTACAGGCTTCAAGTGAATTGTATTCATTTTCTTTTTGTAAAAAGGGAATTAAAGAATTGTTGTGTTTAAATGAGGAACATTACGTTTACCGCATCACATGTATGATTCGCAAGCGAGTTTATGCTTTTACCGTGTCACATGTATGATTCGCGAGCGGGGTGAATAGATACATCTATGGTTCGTTCTGTTCGACCCTTGGCAGTGCTCATTTTACTTTAGGTTGGATCGGGTCGATCGTCCTTGGTGGTAGTTATGTGTGATAATAGAACCGTAACCCTTATAATTTGTATGACTTATTGCTGGAAAGGTCACTAATTTAAATGAGGAAAGTTCTAGTTTTATTAATTGGATGAAAGGGTTTTCAATAATTTTTTCTTGTCTGAGCTTGTTGTTATCTACATACACTGTGATTTAAATATGTTGGACTCCATATTATTATATTTGCTGGCCTAGTAAGTGTCGAAGTCGACCCCTCGTCACTACTTCTGCGAGGTTAGCCGAGATACTTACTGGGTACATATTTTTATGTACTTATGCTACACTTTTGTACTTGATTGTACAGGCTTTGAGGCAGGTGCATCTGGCCATCAGTCCGGCGTATAGAGTGGTCATCTCAGCTCGAGACTTTCCGGTGAGCTGCCCTTCCCAACCGATCTATAGCAGCTAGAGCCTCTCTTTTGTCTCTATGTTCCTGTCTATTTCTTTTCCAGACAGTATGATACTATGGTTTTGTATATTCTACTAGATTGCCCGCACACTTATGACACCAAGTCTTGGCACACACATTAGTAAAATTCTGATGTTTTGGCTTGTCTTCATGATTGAGATTCCCATTTATTCCTTTCACTTAAATATGCTTAAGTTTTTTTAAAAACTATATATTTCTTAAATCTATAATGGAAGTTATCACGTACTAACTACATAAATGAGGATTTACTATATGATCAGTGTTGGCTTGCCTAACAACGGTGTTGGGCACCATCATGGCCTAATATGGAATTTGGGTCGTGACAAAAATGCCCGACGTGCCGAAGTATGATAGAACTTCATACCCTCAGGAGCATAATACCACCTATACAATGGCGATGAAGGGGAACGATTTAGCTCCCCACGAGATTGAATCTGTTTTGCTGAAGAAATTTGGAGAGACTCTCCAAGGGGAGCCTTGACTTGGTATTCATTGTTACCCAAGCATTCCATAGATTCTTTTGAGATTCTCACGCACTCTTTTATTAAGATCCATGTCGGGGCCAAAAAAGTGCAAGCCCGAAAGACCGACAAATTCAGAATCGCACAAGGGGAGTTCGAGTTGCTGTGGGAGGCCTGAATCCGAGAAGTTCATACGCTTCTTGAAAATTGAAGGAAAGTTTGCTTAAGTTCCACGCGACAACTTGGGTGGATGTACACAACCGATACGAGTCTAAGATAAGGACTAAAGATGAGCAGATTGGCCTCTCATCGTCGGCAAAGGGATGGGAGAAGAATAAAGAAAAGTCAAAGACAATTTCGACGCAGATAGATGATATTCAAGGGGCCAGTTTTTGTCCTACGAATGTGGCCGAAGGATGCGGTAGAGGTTTTTGATCGGCAAATAGGTTTATTACCGACAAAAGAATTGATCGGGACCGGAACAACAGATTATTGCAGGACAAAGAAATATCAGGTACACGGGATCCTTCCTACCCTAGGCTATCAGAATACAACTTCAACGTCTATGTAGTAGAGTTGGTATCGTCTATGAGGAACACTAAAGAAGTGCGGTTCTCAAAGTCGATGGGGTCTGATCCTTACCAGAGCGATCCCGATTTGTGGTGCGAATACCACATGACGAATGGCTACCGGACTGGGGACTACCAATATCTGCGTGAAGAGGTGGCAATACTGCTAAAAAATGGGCATCTAAGAGAATTCATAAGTGAGCAGGCCAAGAACAACTATGGTCGCAACCGTGATAATACGGAGCCCTCAAAAGCAGGAGTAGATCCCCCATTCCAGACGATTAACATGATCTTTTGCGGGAACGAGATCAATGAGGTCACCTTCTCGGGTACCAATAACCTAGAGCAAGAGACTCCGGGAAGTCGCTGAAGATGATATCACTTTCACAGAGGAGGACGCAAACGGACTGTTGCTACCGCACAATGAGGCATTTGTAATTTTTTTTAAATGTACTAGATTTTAATATCAAACGTGTTTTAGTGGATCCAGGAAGTTCAGTCAATATCATACAATGGAGGGTATTGGAGCAAGCCAAACTCACCAGAAGCATCATTCCGGCCACAAAACTCCTCGTCGAATTCAACCTCACAAACATGACAACCCGAGGAGAGATCCTGCTGCTTACGAATGCCGAAAGGGTGATAAAGACGACTCTTTTTGAAGTGGTGGACGGTGATATGGGATATAATATTATTCTGGAAAGACCGTGGTTGCACAAGATGAGAGTTGTACCATCAACGTATCATCAGTTGCTGAAATTTCCAACACCCGAAGGAATCAATCAGATAAGAGGCGACCAACCGACGACAAGATAGATGAATACGATTTCGGTCTCCAGTAATAAAAGGAAGGAGTATGCGACATAGCAATTATAGGAACCGGTGCATGCTCCCGAATAGAGTGAAGTTAGCTAGGGGGAAGAAGCGTCATAATCTTATCAGGTGCTGAGATATTTCCAGGTACCAGAAGAGACAGATTCAACAAAATCCACAGCGAAAGAGCTCGAGCAAGTTGTATTGTTTGAAAAGTTTTTAGAAAGGAAGTTCCACATAGGGACAGGACTGCACCCCGAGCTTAGATCTGACATTATTGAATTTCTTAACATAATGCCGATTGTTTTGTATGACCACATGCGGACATGACAGGTATCCCAACGGAAGTGGTCGTACACAAGCTAAGATTGGATCCCAACATCCCTCCGGTAAGACAAAAGAAACGCCTTAAAGCGGAGGCCAGGAATAAATTCGTCAAAGAAGATGTAACTCACCTACTTGATATCAGTTCTATCTGAGAGGTAAAGTATCCAGATTGACTAGCTAATGTAGTAGTAGTTCCTAAGAAGAACAATAAATTTTGCATGTGTGTAGATTATAAGGACTTGAATAAGGCATTCCCAACACACTCATTCCCACTGCCAAATATTGATCAAATAATTGATATAATGGCGGGGCACGAGTTAATGAGTTTCCTCGATGCTTATTCTGGGTACAACCAAATTAAGATGAACCTGGAGGATCAGAAAAAAACTTCGTTCATAACGAATTTTGGCACATATTGCTATAATGTGATGCCCTTCGGGCTAAAGAACACAGTAGCCACTTATCAACGGCTCGTATACAAGATGTTTTAAAACACAAAAAGGGAAAACCATGGAAGTTTCTATAGACGATATGCTTGTAAAGTCTTTGAACGCAGGAGATCATCTTAAGTATTTACATAAAACTTTTGACATCCTAAGGAAGCATAACATGAAGCTTAACCCCGAGAAGTGTGCGTTCGGGGTCAGCTCCAGCAAGTTCTTAGGATTTTAGGTATCACAAAGGGGGATTGAGGTTGTTATATCCCGTACTTCTATACGTTGTATTATTCATAAGTTAACCGACATAAGCTCGGAGGATAAGATTATTTTGAGGTTATAAGCAATTACGTGATACTCAACACGTAATAGGTAAGTGGCTCAAAGTTTAGAGGTTAAGCAAATCGATTAGTATATGTTTCTATCTATATTATACTCGTACTTTCGGGCTATGGTTCGAACCACTCCATCGGAGAATTTGGTCTTAACAAGTATGACGGCGATGATTGGAAATAATATTTAGTATATTATAAAGAGGCTATGGATTAGAGTTATACCACATGATTATGATAATGAGTATATGAGGTGTGTTAAAAGTGGTCCATATTTAAGTGAATAGAGATCAAGAAATTAAGTGCGAGTATAATTAAATAAATGTGGGAATAGAATATAGATGTAGTAGAGTGGTCATTTAACAAATGAATTATTTCAGATTTGTTGGATAACAATTAGTGGATGAAACAAAGTGGGTCATGGACAGATGTCATTATAAGGGACATGTTTTCATTTGCTTTAAGTTAGTGATGACACACTTGAGATAACTATTAATAAATATACCAAGAGGGCAACGTGTATAGGAGAGGATAAGTTGAAATCTCTTATTCCAATTCATTAACAGTTCATTGTAAGGAGATATATGTATATATGATGCACTCTTTAATGGCAGCAATGTTGTATCATTTTAACAAGACTACAAAATTTATCTTTCCAAAAGTATAGCAACAACAATTTTCACTCCAAAATATAGTAGCAACGTTGTCCAATTTAAGCTCAATCCAAGTTCAATCATAGTGATCCTTCCGTTGAGTTGAGGATTCTAACATCGGTTTTTCCGAATCTAGCAAGTAGAGATTAGTTCATGGTAAACTAAGGTATGTTCATATCTTAATCCTTGTACAAAGTAATTCTAGAAGATGATTATGTGTTAAAAATGAAGGGATCTTGATATTTAGAGTTGTAGTTGTTTATATGAAATTGTTGAGACATGAATTGAATTTTGTGGAATTATGAGGAGAATTATGGTGCTATGTTCTTATGGATTAGACGTTCATAAGGTTGTTGGTATTGTTGTTGTGATTTGGAATTGATTTGTAGTTCACATGGGGTAAATTATTTAGAGGATATGCCGCTCGAATTTCGTTAAGTCATTTGTTAATCAAATCGGAGGTAGGAAAGGTATAGTTGGGACTGAATTATATATATACATTTTGATTACAGATTCACAAGTTTGGGAAGCTGACGTTAAGTTTAAAAAGCGACAAGGTATGTTAAGCTACCCCTTCCTTTTTATTTTTGGCATGAATTATATAAAACGAGCGGATGATGAATGTACATAATTTCAATGAATTCTAGTTCTCAGTGGTACTTGACATGATAGTTGTCTTTGATTCTCCAGTGTTGGTTCATTCTAATCATTTTATTAAGTCTTAAATGATGATTTAACTTGTATGTGGTTGCTCCTGATATTCTATTCGTGCATAACATTATTACATCATTTCACCGAGTCCCGAGCCGGGTATGTATTCGTGCACAGTTTCATTGCATAGTTCACCGAGTTCCTCACTAGATGTCCGAGTACGGTATATATATATATATATATATATGATTATTTTACTGAGTACCTCACTAGAGGGCCGGGTATGGTATACATGTATATGACTTCATTCACCGAGTCCCATAATGGGATGGGTATGGTATGTTATATAGATATGCATGACTCTCATCTCATAAGGCACAAGTGCATTGGTATCTTTGATTATCATACTTGTCTCCTGTCATCTTTTACTCAGTCATGATCTTCTTTATTGTACTTCATGATTTATATACTCAGTATATTTTTAGTACTGACCCCCCTTTCTTCGGGGGCTGTGTTTCATGCCTGCAGGTACAGACACTCAGTTTGGTGATCCTCCAGCCTAGGACTTCTGCTCAGCTGTTTGGAGAGCTCCATTGTTTTGGAGCCTGAGTCATTTTGGTACAGATCCTCTGACATAGATTTATGTGTATCCAGGGGTATGACAGGGCCCTGTCCCGTCATATTTCATTATTATACTTTTAGAGGTATGTAGACGTGTGTGGGTTGTATATAGGTTTTGGTCAGCTATATCAATATTGCCCGTTTTGGATATTCCCGTATATAGTGGCAGCCTTGTCAGCTTGCATATTTTGTTATGTTTTGGTTAGCTATGACTCCTTAGGAGACAGGTTCATTATGATATATGATGTTATGAGTCTATAGCTTGCTTTTACAAATTTCTATATTGTCCTTAGTTTTAGTCTGATTATATCTAGCAGGTTCGTATATAAGTGTCTAGCTCGGGCACTAGTCAGAGCTCGTTGGGTTGGGTCGTGATAAAAGTGGTATCAGAGCAGTTCATCCTCGGAGTGTCTACATACCGTGTCTAGTAAAGTCTTGTTTATCGGTGTGTTGTGCACCACATCTATAAATAGGAAGCTGCAGGACATTTAGGATGTCACTTTTCCTTCTTACTCTAGATCATGCGATAGAGCTATGTTATCAGGATAATGCCTCTCTAATTATTGTATTTTTAGCTATGCCTCCAAAGAAAGCGACAGCTGCCCAGAAGGGCAAATCGGTAGCAGGAGATACTAGTCAGATCCGGAGAGTTACTAGGGCCCGTGCCCAGTCTATGCCTGAGATTGTAGTCCTGTGGCGAGCTTTGCTACACCGCCACCTCCAGAGGAGCTTAAAGCAGCATCAACTCCAGTTCAGGGGGCAGCACCACCGCCAACTCTCGAGGCCCCAACACCTTAGCCTCTAGTTCCTCAGCCAGGGGTGGAGCATAGGGCCATGAGATATGCAGTTTAGTTGCTGACCAGATTAGTGGCAGGGCAGGCTCGCAGGCATGGACTAGGAGTTGACCATGCAGACATATCTGATAGTTTGAGGGCTCGTGACTTCTTAAGTTGTAATCCTCCAGAATATTTTGGGTCAAAGCCCGAGGATGATCCACAGGAGTTTATTCAGCAGATGCAACGTACATTGAGGATAATCAAGGCTTCTGAGACTAAGTCTATTGAGTTGGCTTTGTATCGATTGTGGGATGTAGCTATAAATTGGTATGAGTCTTGGGAGTTATCTAGGGTCGATAGTGCTCCTCCACTGGTATGGGATGAGTTTGTAGAGGCCTTTCTTGGCCACTTACTACCTTCAGAGATGAGGCGAGCTAGAGTTGATAGGTTCTTACGTTTGAGGCAGAATGGCAGGAGCGTTCGAGAGTATAGTCTTGAGTTTGATTCGTTGGCTAGATATGCGCCAACTATTGTAGTTGATATAGGAGATAGAGTGCATCGTTATGTGATGGGACTTGATCGTTATTTGATTGATGGTTGTATGACAGTGGCTCTTTAGCTAGGTATGGATATTGCTCGGGTACAGGCATACGTATAGGGGGTAGAGGATCGGCACAGGGGACGTCAGTCAGATAGAGATCATAATAGAGGCCAGTATAAGAAGGCTAGATCGGCGGGATATTGTGGTAAGTTTCAAGTCAGGCAGCCTCAACAGCATATTAGATATTCTTCCCAGTCGGCACAAAGTGCACCCCCACAATTCACAGGTAGTAGATTCGACCGCACAGGGTATTCAGGAGCTGGTCAGAGCTCCAAGGCTTCAGGTTCACATATGAATAGGGGTTCAAGTCAATCGAGGCCACCTTTGCCTCGGTGTTCCAGGTGTGGTAGGCCCCATTTTGGGGAATGCCGTCTTGCTACATGTGCTTTTTTTTCTTGCGGTCGTCAAGGCCATATGATGAGAGAGTGTCCTTATGGAGGTGGTACAGGTGGTATGACTCAACCTACTAGATCGGTTGCTGGTTCATCTTCTTCTGTAGCTATGCCCCTATGGGTCAGGGTATTCAGATACCAGCATGTCGTGGTAGAGGTCGTGGCGGAGCTTCCAGTTCTAGCGGTCCTTCAAACCGCATATATGCTTTATCAAATGTGATTATAGTTATATTATTGATTTTCTCCCGAGACGTATATGCATTGATATATCCAGGTTCACCTTATCATATATATCCCCCTTTGTTGCTAGTAAAATCGGAATAGAACCCAAGTTGATTGAGCCATTTGATGTAGCTACACTGGTAGGAGATTCTGTCATAGCTAAGCAAGTATATAGAAATTTTTCAGTGGTTATATATAGTCGTCATACCATAGCAGATTTGATAGAGTTATACATGACTGAGTTTGATGTTATTATGGGTCTGAATTGGTTGGCTTCTTGTTATGCTAATGTTGATTGTATAGAAAAAATAGTTTGATTTCAGTTTCAAAGAGAGCCGACTATAAGGTGGAGAGGGAATACAACATCGCCGAGGGGTAAGTTTATTTCATACCTCAAGGCAAGGAAGATGGTTAGAAAAGGTTATATTTATCATTTGGTTCTAGTGCATGAAATGAAAGCAGAGGTACCGGCTCTTCGGTCAGTCCCAGTAGTTAATGAATTCCCAGATGAACTTTCAGGTCTTCCTACAGAACGGGAGATAGAGTTCACTATAAATGTACTGCCAGATACCCAACCCATATCTATTCCCCCTTATAGAATGGCACCTGCGGAGTTGAAAGAATTAAAGGAGAAATTGAGAGACTTGCTAGAAAAATGCTTCATCAGGCCTAGTACATCACCTTGGAGAGCACCGATACTATTCGTGAGGAAGAAGGATGAGTCTCTAAGGATGTGTATTGATTATAGGCAGCTGAATAAAGTAACAATAAAGAACATGTATCCCCTCCCCAAGATTGACGATCTATTTGACCAGTTGTAGGGTGCTAAGTGTTTTTCGAAGATAAACTTGTGGTCAGGTTATCATCAGGTATGGGTAAGGGAGGCAGATATTCCGAAGATGGCATTCAGGACTCGATACAGGTATTATGAGTTTAGAGTGATGTCTTTTGGGGTGACCAATGATCCAGCGGTGTTTATGGATTTGATGAACCGGGTATTCAGACCATTCCTAGATATGTTTGTTATTGTATTTATTGATAATATTCTGGTTTATTCACGTTCAAAAGAGGAGCATACAGACCATTTGAGGACGGTACTTAGGATACTCTAGCACCAGAAGTTGTATGCTAAGTATTCTAAGTGCGAATTCTGGTTGACGTCAATAGCATTCTTGGGACATATTATTGGAGCTGATGGTATTCGGGAAGATACACAGAAGATTGAGGCGGTAAAGACTTGGCCCAGACCTACGACACCTACTAAGGTATGTAGTTTTCTGGGGCTAGCAGGATATTACAGGAGATTCATAGAAAAGTTTGCCTCAATTTCAGCAGCTTTAACAAGGCTAACTCAGAAGGCAGCTAAATTCCAGTGGACAGATGCTTGTGAGCAAAACTTTCAGTTGCTGAAGGACAAGTTGACTATGGCCCCAGTTCTAACTCTTCCTAAGGGACTAGATGGCTATGTTATTTATTGTGATGCCTCAGGTGTTGGACTAGGTTGTGTATTGATGCAGCAAGGCAAGGTCTATGCCTCCCGACAACTCAGAAAGCACAAAAAGAATTATCCTACTCATGATTTGGAGTTAGTAGCAATGATTCATGCCTTGAAGATATGGAGGCATTATTTATATGGTGTTCATGTTGATATTTATATGGATCATAAGAGTCTCCAATATATCTTTAAGCAGAAAGAGCTGAATTTACGATAGAGACAGTGACTAGAGTTACTTAAGGATTATGATGTTGATATTCTATACCATCTAGGGAAAGCAAATGTTGTAGCAGATGCTCTTAGCCATAAATATATGGGTAGCTTGATAGATATGCAGCCAGAAAGGAAGGAGATGGTTCGTGAGATTTATCAGCTAGCTAGCCTTGGAGTCCATTTGGCTAATTCTTGAGATAATGGAGTTTCTGTTCGAGAAGTTGCTAAGTCCTCTATCATAGAAGAGGTAAAGTACGAGGACCCTGTTCTGGCATGGTATAGAGATACAACTCTTCAAAAGGAAAAGACCCCATTCAAGGTTACACCTGATGGAGTACTACGGAATGAAGGCAGATTGTGTGTACCTGATGTTGCAGGGCTACGCGGTAGGTTATAGGAGAGGCACACTCTGCCTATTATTCTATTCACCTAGGGTCAACGAAGATGTATCATGACCTCAGATGCTTATATTGGTGGGATGGCATGAAAAGGGACATAGAGGGGTTTGTTGCTCAATGCCCGAATTGTCAACAGGTTAAGGTCGAGCATCAGAAGCCTGGTGGATTATTGCAGGAGATACAGATCCCGACTTGGAAATGGGAAATGATTAATATGGACTTCATTACAGGCTTACCTCGCACTTAACGGAAGTATGACTCTATATGGGTTATTGTGGATAGGCTGACAAAATCAACCCATTTTCTTCTAGTTAGGACTACTTATTCAGCTGAAGACTATGTGAGGTTATACATCAGGGAGATAGTGAGACTTCATGGTGTTCCCACATCTATTATATCGGACAGAGGAGCTCAATTTACAGTTAACTTCTAGAGATCAATCCAGGAAGGATAGGGGACACAGGTGAGTCTTAGCACAACATTTCACCCTCAAACTGATGGACAGGCTGAGCGTACTATTTAGATGCTAGAAGATCTGTTGCGAGCCTGTATTATTGACTTCATAGGTAGCTAGGGTGATCATTTTCCACTTATTGAGTTTGCTTATAATAATAGCTACCATTTTAGTATTCAAATGGCACCGTACAAGGCCTTATATGGGAGGAAGTGCAGGTCACCTATCGGTTGGTTCAATGTTGGCGAGACTAAGTTAATAGGCCCAGGCATGATTCAACAAGCAGTTGATAAGGTGAAGCTTATTCAGGAGAGATTATTGGCAGCCCAGAGTCGACAGAAGTCATATGTAGATAATCGATGTCGAGACTTAGAGTTTCAGATTGGTGATTGGGTGTTCCTGAAGGTATCACCCATGAAGGGTGTGATGAGATTCTGCAAGAAGGGGAAGCTTAGCCCGAGATACATTGGGCCTTATCAAATTATTCGTAGGGTAAGCAAGATTGCCTATGAGTTGGACCTACCATCTGATTTAGAAGCGATACATCCAGTCTTTCATATATCAATGCTACATAAATGTATTGGTCACACTTCTAGAGTATTCCCTGTAGATGACGTCCAAATAACAGAGGAGTTGTCTTATGAGGAAAGCCCCATAACTATACTTGATCGCCAGGTTAGAAGGTTACGTACTAATGATATGTCTTCTGTCAAAGTATTGTGGCGAAATAATAATAGGGAAGAGGTGACTTGGGAAGCAGAAGATGAAATGAAGAATATGTATCCTTACTTGTTCCCCCTGCCTGCAGGTAATTTAATTCCTTACTTGATTATATTGACTAGTAAATGAGACTATATGATATTGTGGCCATGTGGGGAATTTGTGGGTTACTGAATGCAGATTGGTAGGTATAGCCATAGAGGAGACTGCCGAAATTTTTATAAGACTCTATAGACTAACTAGTTTGACATTCAAGGACGAATGTTCTTAAGGGGGAAGGATGTTATATCCCGTATTTCTACACGTTGGATTATTCATAAGTTACCGACATAAGCTCGTAGGACAAAATTATTTTTAGGTTATAAGCAATTATGTGATGTTCAACAAGTGATGGGTAAGTGGTGCGAAGTTTAGAGGTTAAGCAAATCGAATAGTATAAGTTTCATCAATATTATACCCGTACTTTCGGGCTATGGTTCGAACCACTCGCACCAGAGAATTTGGTCTTAAAAAGTGTGACGACGGTGATTGGGAATAATATTTGGTATATATATAAAGAGGCTATGGACTAGAGTTATACCACATGATTATGATAATGAGTATATGAGGTGTGTTAAAAGTGGTTCATATTTAAGTAAATAGAGATCAAGAAATTAAGTGTGGGTATAATTAAATAAATGTGGGAATAGAGTATAGATATAGTAGAGTGGTCATTTAACAAATGAATTATTTCAGATTTGTTGGATAACAATTAGTGGATGAAACAAAGTGGGTCATGGACAGATGGCATTATAAGGGACATGTTTTCATTTACTTTAAGTTAGTGGTGGCATATTTGAGATAACTATTAATAAATAGACCAAGAGGGCAGCGTGTATAGGAGAGGATCACTTGAAATCTCTTATTTCAATTCGTTAACAGTTCATTGTAAAGAGATATATGTATGTATGATGCACTCTTTAATGGCAGCAACATTGTATCTTTTTAATAAGGCTACAAAGTTTATCTTTCCACAAGTATAGCAACAACAATTTTCACTCCATAATATAGTAGCAACGTTGTCCAATTTAAGCTCAATCCAAGTTCAATCATAGTGATCCTTCTATTTAGTTGAGGATTCTAACATCGATTTTTCCGAATCCAGCAAGTAGAGATTAGTTCATGGTGAAGTAAGGTATGTTCATATCTTAATCCTTGTACAAAGTAATTCTAGTGTGTTAAAAATGAAGGATCTTGATATTTAGAGTTGTAGTTATTTATATGAAATTGTTGAGACATGAATTGGATTTTGTGGAATTTATGAGGAGAATTATGGTGCTATGTTCTTATGGATTAGACGTTCATAAGGTTGTTGGTATTGTTGTTGTGATTTGGAATTGATTTGGAGTTCGCATGGGGTTAATTATTTAGAGGAGATTCCGCCCGAATTTGGTTAAGTCATTTGTTCATCAAATCGGAGGTAGGAAAAGTATAGTTGGGACTGAATTATATATATATA